ATTGTGAATGGGATCAGTTTCTTTATTTGTCTTTCTGTTACTTCATTGTTAGTGTATAAGAATGCAACTGATTTCTGTACATTGATTTTGTATCCTGCAACTTTGCTGAATTCATGTATCAGTTCTAGCAGACTTTTGGTAGAGTCTATCGGGTTTTCCATGTATAATATATATTTATGTACATTTTAAGTACTTCTTCAAATCTTAATTTCTTTGTGGAGATCCAAATTACTGTCTGATACCCTATTCCTTCTACCTCAAGAACTTTATGAACAATTTTTTTTGTAGTGTAAATCTGTTGAATTTCCCTAAGTTTTTTCTGAAAAAGCATTCTTCCTTTATTTTTCAAACATTGTTTTGCTGTGCATAGACTTTAGAACGTTAAGGTTTTTTTTTCTTTTTTCCTTTTTCATCAGTTCTTTTTAACTTTAGCACTTTAGAGATGTCACTCTGCTGTTGGGCTTGCACAATTGCTGAGGAGTCTGTTAGTCTCATCTTTATTCGGTATATAGATATCTTATTTTTCCCATTGATTGCCTACAAGAATTTCTTTTCATCTTTAGTTTTTAGCAGTTTGAATATAGCATATCTAGGTTTTTAAAAAATTTCTTTTTAAATCCTTGCTATTCTTTGAGCTTTTTGCAATTATGGTTTGATGTGTTTCATTAATTTTGAAAAACTTCTTGACTACTATCTTTTCAAACATTTCTTCTGTCCCATTAATCTCTTTTCTCCTCCTAGGATTCAATTTACACATATAGTAGACTATATGGTATTTTGTACCACAGGTCTTGTGTGTTGTGATATTTCTTTTTTTCTCATTTCTTCAATGTAGATATTAAATATTTAATATGTAAACATTAAATAACACACTATTGCACAAGCAATGGGCCAAATCAAAAATCAAACTGCAAATCAAAATATGTCTCCAAACAAACAAACAAAAAAGAAAATACAATATTCCAAAACCTTGAGATGCAGCAAAAACAGGTTTTAGAGAGATATTTATGCTATAAATGCTTGTGTTAAGAAAAAAATTCAGGGGCACCTGGGTGGCTCAGTCAGATTAAGCATCCAACTTCAGCTCAGGTCATGATCTCACTGTTCATGGGTTCAACCCCCCACCTTGGGCTCTCTGCAGTCAGCACAGAGCCTGCTTTGGATACTCTGTCTCTTTCTCTCTCTCTCTCTCTCTGCCCCTCACTCTCAAAAATAAACTTTAAAAAAAGTTCTCTAAAGGGGTGCCTGGGTGGCTCAGTCGGTTACGTGTCCAACTTTGGCTCAGGTCATGATCTTAAAGTTTGTGAGTTTGAGCCGGCATCGGGCTCTGTGCTGACAGTTTGGAGCTTGTAGCCTGTTTCGGATTCTGTGTCTCCTTTTCTCTCTGCCCCTCCCCTGCTTGCACTCTATCTCTTTCTCTCTCTCTCAAAAATAAGTGAACATTTTTTTTAAAAGTTCTCTAAAAAAAAGTTTAAATAAATAATACACCACAAAGAACTAGAAAAAGAAGAAACTTAGCTGAAATTTAGTAGAGGAAGGAAATAAAGAAAAATAAATAAATAAAATAGAGACCAGAATAAACAGCAACATAACATTGAAAGTAATT